TCTGGGTTTTCTTTTGTTGAGTAATGGCAATTCCTTGCTTTTGATTCTAATTTTGAGTGACAATTCCTGATTGCCTAGTCTAGACTAAAATCTTCAACCAATTGATCAGTTTCCCAGAATACAAACTCTCCTTATACCCTATCCTAGAGTAAAGTGCTTGAAAACCATACCCTTCAGAGTGGAACATACCTATATAGTCCCTATATGGCACAACCCTCCTCTCCCCTGGAGGAAACAAGGGCTTCTAAGTCACTCATATTAAATCCCCCTCTCTCTGTCCCTGCTTCCAAAAATGCATAAATTATGCACTGTTAAATCCCTGCCCATGAGCTGGCTCAAGCAGGAATTGTGTTAATTCCACTGCACACAGGGCCAGTACGTTGTTAAATATGTGTTAAATCCTGACATTGGCTGCATTGATTCCCTGCTATGTGCCAGAGGTTTGGGGGGAGGGGGGGAGGGGGAGAAGGGTTTCAATTGACTGATGCATTTAAACACTGCGTCCTTTACTCGCTTACTTTGTCACTAAGAGTAACTAATCAGTCTATCTAACTATACAAAACAGTATATAAATCTTAAACAGGTTTTCAGTAGTATCTATGGTGGTATGGACTAGAAAGGTGTATTGGTAATGCTAATCATTTTCTGTTTTTTCTACAGGATTAACACTACTTAGACCAACGACGTTTCCAAGCTTACATCTGTTACATGTAAACAGAATTGGAGACTAGACTGGCAGGTCTCTCATTATTACTTATTCTCTTGGCCTCTACATCATCGTTCGATCAAAACATTTATGGTCACTCCAGAACATAACATTTGATCATCTACTTGTTCTTTTTTTTGTTATTGACAATGTGATGAGGATTTATACCTAGAAATTATTTTGGTGAAACTGCTCACAGACAGGATTTTAGAAGAAAAATAATGAATAATGTGTTTTAACAGCCATAGCCTTCAAGTCAATTCATCACTGGAAGCTTTAGCCTGAGAATGCAGACAGATTTCCAGTTGTATTTTTTATTGACGTGAAACTACAACCCAAAATGTTTTGTTTAATTTGATTATTTTTGTCCAGTTCTAGTGCTTCTGGTACTGTCTTAAGTAATATGACCTGTCTAGACATTTTTCCTGACTTTTTCTTTTATTTAGTAAGATTATCTTGCATAGTTCCATGGAAAGTAAAGAAAAAGTGTTAATAAAAGATTTACACTATAAGTATTTTGTTGCTGGGATACTTGGGTATCAGCTCTAGAAGCATAATTTCAAGTGAGGTAGATATACTCCCACATAACAACAGACTTGGGAAATAGTTTCCTTATATACTTACCTCTGAGGAGCAAATGGAGCAATTATTATTTACCAACGAAAAACTTACACCCGAATAGCTTCGGCAATCCAAGCATGTACAGTGTAGTTTAGGTGAAATGCTTGAATCTGCACTGATAGTTGGAAAATGCGGACCCCCATGGAAACAGTTACTCCAGATTTCGAGCGTTTATTGACCAGTTTTAAAGGCGTCCTTATTACCATTTTTTTGGGGGGGAAGATTGAACGGTATAGCTGAACCTTGACAGAATATTTGTCCTCTCATTGATAAGCGATTTGGTACCTTCAAGAACTGTCTCTTCAGGTCGTAAGCCGTTTTCAAATAAGCTTTAATGTCGCTGTCTAGGTTCGAAGTGAAAATGTTCAAATCGCCGAGTCACTAGCCTTAGCGTTCTGTTCCCAATTCTGAGATATTTTAAACCTATTTATAAACGCCATTGTTTTGATTCTGATTTTTTCTTGAAGGTATTGTTTTCAGTGGAAGGCTCCTATAGAATCTTGCGTCAGCCCAACTGGTTATAAACGTAGTATGGGTGTAACATATTCAAGCCCCTCTCAAGTCCAAACATTGACATAAAAAGATACCCTCGAATTAATCGTGTTACTCGTTTCAGTTCGAGAGCTTTATTGTTGGATTAACTGGCTTATTTCTCTTGCCCTTCGCGGCTGACTCGCAAGGTACCTCCGGAAAGTAGTGTTTAAAGCCACTGATCATTTTTATGAAATTGTTATGAGATTTAATTTTTCAAAAATGAGAAAGAGTTTTGACCTATGTAACTTATGTTTTTGTCTCCAAGCGCAGTATTGTGGCGTTTCTGAGTTACAGGCCATTAAAGATGATCTTGGTGATGATTTTTATCGATCGTTAGGAGCGTTTGTCAACACTTTTGAGTCTTGTGGCCAGTGTGTTTTTTGTTTTCAGGTTAAAATTCCGTTATTGATACTTTAAATGATAACATCTATAGCTCCGCTTTAGTGGTTGAAATGATTTGCTCTACTGTTACTGAGAAATTGGACCGTGAACTTTTCACGACAAGCATTTTGTTTACCTTCTTTCAAACCTTCCCGGGCGGGCTTGAATGTGACGTCACGATGGCCAGACACATCGGATTTTCATTCGCCAATATCTGCTCTAGTGCCCAGGCCTTAGTTTATGACTCCCTCCTGGCTGAGAAGAGCACGCCATGCTCGCATGACAACCGCTGACCACTCTCGATCAAATCTAGTCTTAGGCTTGACATAAGATAATAATATCAAGAAACATAAGGCCGGAAGATTTTAAACAAGCTGCATTGAGCCGGCTTTTTGTAAAAATCTTCCGTACTTGTACAAAGTTGTGTATTACGGTAAAAGGCGTCGAGATAAGGATGTATCGAGATGTAATATGTAGAAGTTAATTCATCCCATTACATTAATGACAATCCAAGGTCTATCTAACAGCCTGAACTAACCAACTAAATGTAAATCATTTTGTATATATACTTTTAATGATGTTTTAAATTTGTTATAAGATTTTGTCGTTAAGCTGTTCCATACTGTAGCTCCTCTATAACTGAGGGAAAATTTGCCGTACTTATAGTCCTTTTATATAAGTACTGTGTATAATTGAGGCTGATCGGGTAGTATAGGTATGTACTTTATCGTTTGTTTTAAAGTAATTTTTGAAAAAAATAGGTAGTTTATCATGGAAATACAGACACATGAAAAGTGCTAAAAAATACATGTTAAGTTCATATATATTCATTAGTTTTAACGAAACAAAAATAAGTCCATGTCTACGATGACATCCCGAAATTGTTGTACGACTCGAGGAAAGGAAAAATGAAGAAGTCGCAGAAAGCCAGGGAAAAAGGCTGTACCGCCTACTTTAAGTAAAGCTCAGCCCGACAAGCTGTTTGTCAATGGAAAGTACTTCGCCCCTGGTGATGCAATAGAGTGATAACCTTTCAGTAACAAGGTTTTTCTCTGCGAATGCCAAATAATCTCTTTGCAACTACTTTTCCACTAATTTAATTTTTTCTTTCAATTTTATGCATAACGATATCAGGGAGTTCTATATGTAGTAACGAATATCGATCAGGCCGTTACCAAAGACGACGGAACGCAAAAGGATTTATTTCTGTAATATGTTTCTGTATCTGTGTTTACGTTCTTCTGTGTGTTATTATCTGTCCTTTTCATGTACCTTGCACAATTTGCAAATATCAAGGCCTAGTAATCACAACACTAAATTACATAGCTGTTCTCCTGACACTCTCATCAAAGGATTTCATTTCACACCTTTTCACCATGCATTCTGATGATATGGTAATTTGCTCCTTAAACGTGAGAGATTTGTCAAACAATACAAAACGGAGAGAAACGTTTTTATGGTTAAAGACAAAAAAAAAATTTAACTTTTTGCAAGAGGTGAATAGCACCAATGAGACAGAACCTTATTGGCATTCTGAATGGGGATATTCAACTATTTTTACAACCTTCTCAAGCTCTAGAGCAGGCGTTGCTATGCAGTGTTCAACAACAATTTTCAATTTCCAATTCTGAAACATTTTGCCGACCCCGAAGGAGGTCACTAGTGATCAATGCAGTTTCTGTAAAGAAAGCTCGGAAACTCTTTGGCACCTCTTTTGGGAATTTCCTTTCGCTAAATCCTTTTGGAATGAAATTATTAGTAATTGGACGGAAAACAGCTCTTGCTTTCTTGACGAAGAATTCTCTTTTAAAAGTTAAAATCTTTATTACAAAACCTCAATTAAAATCCTATTTACAATCAACCTGCTGTTACAAAAAATCTAATTGGCCTCGCGAACGATACTACAAACCTGGTTTTCCATCAAGCACTTTTAATCTCGAGCTATATGATTTATGTGCCGAGTAATGTTAATGATGCAAATAATAATGATAATAATAATAATAATAATAATAATAATACTAATACTAATAATAATAATAATAATAATAATAATAAAGTATTTGATCAACTGGAATATTTTTGTCCTTTCACAGACCTTCCACCTCAATCGTACTTACGATATGCAGTTATGCAGGTGGATTTTGCTGTTCCTCCTGGGAACTGGGGCATGTGATGAACACTTCAAACTTGACAGAATAATCTGAATTTGATCAAAATATTTTTGTCCCTTCACAGACCTTCCATCTCAATCGTACTTACGATATGCAATTAACTGGGGCATGTTCACTTCAAACTTGATGTCTCATCTATCTCTGAAGTATAATTCATACTAAAATAAAAACATCTGATAGAACTGAAAAGCATTTTTCTATGTAATCTCCTTTATGTTCTGTTTTCTATCACAGAGTTTTTTCTGCCATTGCAGCGTGTTCACCCAAGTATGACAGTACTCAGAAAATTATCTGCAGTTTTCACTTGACGAATAACGACCACAGAGACTATTCGGTCCTAAAATGGCGCACACCGTTGTCGGGAATGACTTTTGATTTCCTGACTGTAATGTACAAAGGAAAGAGGCTAGATTATGATGGGATCTTCATGAAAAGGCGCTGATCAGTTCTTGTTCGTTGCCGCTGGGCAAACCGTCTCTTCCACGTTTGATGTTTCCGCTGGGTATGACGTAAGCAAGAGTCGAAAGTACTCAGTTGCACTAGACACGTATTTAGAATATATACCGGGTAGTATTAGGAACATAAACATGCCTGGCAAGCATGCCTTGCCAACAAAAGTTAGTCATCTGTCTTCCCCAAAAGAGATATTTCAGGTAGTAGGGGAAAATTCTACTAGGAGAACATTAGGTCAAACGGAGCGTTCTAATTTGGAGAGCAATTCTTACAAGATGAAATGGGGCAGACTCAAATTTCCAGCGCAAAAAGATACGTCTCTTGACGAGCCTAGTGCACCAGTTGACCCTGTGGTGAAAGGGGGAACAAAAGCGCAGCGAAAAGCAACTAAAGACGCTCATCGTGTTGCATATAGTGTTGTAAAAGCTTCTATTTTAGACCTTAAAGAAAACCAGGAACGGGCTAAAACGTGGTTTGGAATAGGTCATACGGGGATCGCCATCAACGTTTTTGAACGAATGGAAGAGATAGTAAAAATCGACAAGATAACATATGTTTTTGGAGGCAAATACTGTCACCAAGATACTCTTGCATACACCTATTATGATACGCGCAAAATTATCTTGTGCAACGGCTATGAAAAAGCCGAAAAACTCTCTGGTTTTGACAGCAAGATGGGAATCCTAACGCACGAGTTGAGCCATGCTTTGACTAGAACAGACGACAAAGTATTTGGTGTATCCAAATGCAAGAAACTCGCTAAGAGAGCCCCTGGCCGAGCTGTTAAGAATGCTGATAATTATGAGTATTTTGCTGAAAGTTTATACTCTAGTTTAAAATGACTTCAAGGTTATATTGAGCTTTGGGAGAATTAAAGTAAAGGTCCTTATTGAGAGCTTCAATAAACTTATATATGAACGTAAAAAGGAAGTGTTTCTTGTGGTTGTTATTTTCTCTGTCAGCCCTCATATAATCAGATTATCAAAGGAAACTTCCAATGTACATTGACCGATCTCTGCCCGCCCTGACGTCACTCCGCCATGCACTTTAGAGGCAAGTAGGAACCTGGGTCGAGTTAACTCTCGCTAAGACTTCTGGGACTTGACTGGTGACAAGGGAGCTGAAAAATTCAGTGACCAATAGCTGACCAGCGTTTCCCCGGCGATCCCAGAAGTCTTTTCCAAAGCTAACTCGACCAAGTTTTCTTCTCGTATGCACAACGCAGTACTGTTGAACAGTTAGTTGCCCAGCTTGCTATGATGCCAACAAGCGTTTTTCACTCTTGTGTTACAAACTTTTCAGTAAGATGAAACAGGCCATCAAAGTGGTCAGGAGAGAAGAAAGGGGGTAGTTAATCAGTCGAGTTTTTAACTTCAATTCCCCGCGGCTTCAATCTTACTAGTCCAAGCAATGTGCACTACTGCGTGGTGTTTACAAGTCCCTCTAGAATGGCTGCTAAGTGTTAACTTGCTCATATATTTTCATGCGTTGATCAAAAAGGTCTCAAAAGGACGCTCCGCTCGTAGGTTTTTATTGTCCATTGTGGTTTCCTCATTCACTTAGAAGTTCCATGGTATTTTCATCCATAAGAATTATTAAACAGAGGAGTTCACGCTCATAGTTGCATCATGGGTAATCAGGGCAAGATGGCTTGAAATCCAAAGATTTGTATTAGAATTCAAAGCCAGCTTATTCTTCCCGAATTCATATATTTGCCACGTTCTCTTTGAAAAGAGTAACTTACGAGTTCAAAGAAACAATACGCTATATCTGTAGTGCAAAGAAGTCCATGATAAGTTTTTAGAAATACTTGATTTCTCCATACATTTTCTGTAATTCGACAGTATCAAAATTAGCTGGCTTTGAATTCCAATACAAATCTTTGAATTTCCCTCCATCTTGCCCTGATTATCCGAGATGTAACTATGAGCGTGAACACCTCTATTGAATCTGACGTTTGCCGCCAGTAGTTTTAGCTTCTGCTATTAGCTGCTTAACTATTGTGCTGATAAAACACTTAGTTGCCACAGCAGCATAGTCTCTATGATGTTATAAAGATTTTTGTTCTTGGGCCATGCTAGCTTAAATAAAAATAAAACACAAACAGCGGTAATAAAAGGGGGAAAAAGGTGGAAACTGTACCGACGCTCTCTTGTCAATTCAACATAGGATCAACAGTTATTTGGATAACCCCGACTGTTAAGCAGTTCGCCTTTTTGCTATGGGCTTCAGCAAAGCTTTTGACTCTGTGAAACATGAACTTCTTGCTAATAAATTAAAAAAGCTCCCACTGAATTCATATATTACCAATCGGAACTTGAACGTTTTAAAGGATAGAAAACAAAGAGTATGTTGCAACAACTTTGAGTGTGACTGGAAACCGGTTGACAAAGGGACAACTCAAGGTAGCGTCAGCGGTTTTTACCTTTTTAACATCTTTCTCAATGATCTTAACATCACTTTAATTAGGTAATCATGAAGCGCTATTTAAGTACGCTGGTGATTCCACAATTATTGCTCCTGTATGGAAGGAAGTAGACTACTCCAATCAGTTAGTGTTACAGTTTTTAGATTTGACGAATAATCCAAGCAAATGTAAAGAGTTGACGATCAAAAAGAGAGGCAACTGCGATCTCTGTTCACCTATTGGGATGATACCAAGCTGTAAAGAAGTAGAGATTTTGGGCGTTACCTTCCAATGTGACACTCTGGGCCCAGTTGTTCGAAGGTTCCCTGCTAGCAGAGGTCTCTCACGGCGAGGCAAAAATGAGAGAAAGGACAACTAGCAAAAGATATAAATTTGCATCAAAAAGAACTCTCGATTACTTTCCGAAAAAATATCCGGTATATGCTAGTAATTGGCTTGTCGTCACAGATAGCAGTGAGAGCCGAAACGGTGAACGTCACGGCTCATCGTGTAGGATGCAATACTTAATTATCTTACTCGGGTTATAACATCACAGAAACTCTCACAAAGAGTTGCTCTGATGTTATAATAGTGAGCTTAAGCAACAACGTTTTTGAGCAACGCACGTCAACCGGAAGTAGCCTTTTTTCATTTTTGGACGATGATTTTGCCCAAATTTTCAGTCACATTGTCCCTATAAGAGTAAAGAAGCTAAGCTATACAAATTTTAAATCGTCAAGGCATGTTTAGAGGGAAAAGGCCTCACTTCCGGTTGACGTCCGTCGCTTAAAAACGCCTTTGCTTAAGCTCCCTAATGTATCACTAATCTCTTTACCCGGTAATTAGCATATCCCGGAGATTTAACCGAGGGTCCTTTTTGATGGAAATTCTATCTTTTTGATAAATGTGCACGTGTATATGAAACTTGAAAACAATGCCAGTGAATAATGAGGACGCTCGCTTATAAACACAAAATCTGGGGGGGAAAATTGGCTATATTTGAGGCCCTCTTTAAAAGCCTTCCCTGTTTTCAATGTTCTTAAAACTAGCAGGGAATATTTCTTCACAATTTATCTCGGAATTGTCGAATTTATAAAAAAATTTATCGAGCGGTCTTTGGAAAAATGCGAAATTTTTAGGCATGGACCAAATTACCTCCAAAAACTGTATCAAAAGCCGGCAAGTTAATAAAATCCTTCTTACTCGCGATCGCCCAGAGCAATTCCCCTCTTTTTTTTTTGTATGCAGTTTTCAATGGAATCAATCCACTATGAGCGAGATGAAGCCGCGTTCCCAAAGCTTATAATTTTTTTAAAATATTAGCGAATTGTGCGGCTAGCATGCTATTTCACTGTTTTTATGATTCTTAAAACTGCATTTCAAAATATTTCGAAAACGCTCTCAAAGAATTTCTTCAAACTTTACCATAATGGAGGCAATTATGGCAGGTACATACTCCCTTAAGCGATTTCTTCAAAAAACTCCTGGTATAGAAAAACACAGCGATAAATGAAAAACGTAATGGCGTCATTACGTTGCCATGGCGACTCCGATTGCAATAAAACCCAGATCATAAGAAATTTTCATTTGTTATATAATACAGTTGTGGTAACCTTTTTTCCATATCTTTACTCATACCGACGTAGTTAAGACTCAAACTTGGGAGGTATCCCCCTAAAAAAATCCAGTCGAGCCACCTTAAACATTGTGAACTTTCGCATTTTTACGTTAACTGGCTTTTTAGATTTGTGTGGGAGTGGTGATTATGCGTACCGTTTTTGAATGAGAGATCGCTTTGTACGTCTGCACATTTTTTCTGCGTTTAGTCACTATCTTTGACTTTGCCTGGACTTTGAAATCAGGGGGAGTTGGAGGGTCTTTAGGAGGCAGACTAAATGCTATCAATACATCGCACCCACGCCTCAGGCTTCCGTCAATCCCTAATAGGGAGTTTAAGCAGTGACGACAGCGACGGCAGTGAGAACGGCAAAAAAAAAAAAACAGTAGGTTTAGATTGACAAAACAGACAACTTTGCACGTGCATCACCCTTTCTTATACGTCGTGTGAAATAATGTGCCTATATTTCACGTTTTGTCGAGGGCTGGAACACAAAACAACAATTTTCTTGTGCTTCTCCTGAACTTTGATACAATCCTTTAGAATTCAACTCCAAAGAAATTTGCCAACATTTGAAGAATTAAACGTGATGGAATAAGCGCGATAAAGTTTCATGCGGCGCGAATTAATATTTTTTTAAGAGACGTTTTCGTAGCCGTTGCCGTGGTCGTTGCTTAAGCTCCCTATTATGTAACCCGCCGCCGGGTAGCGATATCTTATGCTCAGGCCCTGCCCTCCCTCGCCATTTTCCCACTGCGAAAATGAAAATCCATCTTTATTTTATCCATAATTCATTAAAGAAACCCTTCTCTGTATGTTTTTGTTTGCTTGTTTGGATCTGACCGTGCATGGACAATGTTCAATAGCATTCCTATTATTTTGATTACTAACGTCGCATCAATTTATTCAGTCAGAATTTTTAAACAAAAGACAAAGGATTGTGCACGGTCAGGGAGCTTGCAACATAACCCACAGCAACATAGTTTTCAACTTTGATGTTTGCCGGCTTTCCTAACCAATCTCCCCTACTAAATATGTTTTATCCATCGCATCAGAGCCGTTTTTGTTTGGTCACGCAGCCATCCTCCCCAGGAGGAGCGTTGCGTGACAAGACAAAAAAGGCCTTGACGAGGGAGACCAAAGTCACTCAGGGACCTTCCAAGCTCCTCTCATTGTTATAAACCTGAGATCAGGCTCTATTTTTGTTTCGCTAGGAAAGCAAAATTTCGGCAGGAAAGCGCCACTAAGTATAAATTTGAGAACATAGAAGACCTGCCGGGCCGATCTTAGATTATCTCATCGCCCATCACAAACCCCCGCGCGAAGTCCCTATACATGACTTCCATTTACTTGCAACAGGACACACCACGAGGAAGAAAAAAGTATTCATAATTACCGTATTTCGGGAGCTCTTCAGTTCAGTGATGCAAGTGAAAGGCGTTGGCGGAAGTGATTCATTCTTGTGCTGAATAATTATACTTATTAGGTTAATTTTCATGTTGACTAGGTACTTCATCGTTACAATTGACACGGAGAAATATGCATCCTGTTGTTAATTTATTAAACATTTTGAGACATTCGAGAGGTTTTATAATAGCTGATAACAATGCCTATCGATAGGCGATTGAAAAATATTTACATTATACCGCACGCAACACTTCACTTCCGGCGGTGCATGAGAATACATATCACCTGAACACTCCCATATTTGGAATGAACGTTGTTGTCTTGACTTTTAGCCAATCAGCAACAAGTTTTGACTGAAGGCCTTGAAGCCATGTTGCTGTCGCGGACTTTTATGCACGTTTTGTTGTTGTGACTTTAGTTCAGAATTTCCTTTGGATTGTCTGCTCTTGAATTATAGTGTTTTGCAGGAGGGATAACGTATTTTTCATTTTCCTCGTGAGCGTCGAGTGCTCGCAAGTCGAGCAAAATGTCTCGCCGTTATGAGTTGAGCGAGCAAGATGCAAGGTCTTACGGAGGATCCAAAGCAAATCGACACAAAGTCAGTGTAAAAGTTTGCATGTTAGATGATTCTGTGGTTAAATTTGATTTAGAGGTAAGGACTTTTTTTCTTCTGAAATTAAGTTATATTCCCTAGGGCCCGTAAATGATACTAAAATGTTGCTTGCTTCACATTTGTCGTGTCGGTTTTGGTTTTTGCGTCCGTCCTCTGTTGTCGGCTTTCGAACTACCACTAAAGCTTACATCCTCACGACACCAAATGAGGCATTAGGTTATTTTCAACAGCTGTTGTTGAGAAAAACAGATATTTCTTGCCGTCCCTTTGTCGCTAATTAAGGGCTAATCTCGCGTTTTTCGAACAAGGTGGCCAGCGTTATGCGTGATTGAATTTTTCAGATGTTTTCTTTCTAAGAATGGAAGATCTGAAAATTGCATTCAAATTCTTTCTTTGGAATGTTTTGCCTTTAAAATCCACACATACGCCTCGAATTTTCCGAAGGTTTTACGCTAGTGAATATTTCTAACAGCAATTGTGTTAGCTTGTTGTTTTGAATTGGGGAGTAGAAATATTTTGGTTCTCTTCAAGCTTTATCTTTTAAAACGCGTGTAATTTGTATTTTAATGTCTTTGAATGATCCTCGTGCATGGCGATTCATTTCATTTGGAAAATTCACGTCGAAAATGTCAAACTTTAAAATGTCTTGCACAATTATGTAAACAGAACTGCTATATACAGCGCCTGATCTCAATCTCATGTCAGAAAATGAAATCACCGTTTGATTTCAGCTCACGATCATGCATATGCCAATGTCGGAAGCCGTTTTTCCATTTTTCTCTCCAGCGGGTGACCAAAACAAAACGCCATGAATTTCGCACGATTGCGTCTGAAGCTAAATTACCACAGTATTTTACCAATCTTAGATTAGTTCGTTTCGAAGTAGTTAGGTGCACTTTCAAGCGCGTTATTGCTAGTTTGTGTTTGAACCCGAAGTAAACATTGTTTGCAATTTATAATTTAATCCGGTTTTCTCCGCCAATCGACCAATGTAGGTGATTACATTACTTCTGAAAACGAATTGAAAGTCCTCAAATATTTAACCAATTTGAAAAAGATACAGTGTAACTTTCGAAAATAAATACAATGGAGGAAAAATATCATCACACGATTTTTAGCACATTTAAAAAATATCACTTTGTAGTTATATTGGAAATATATTATTTGTACATGTATGGAGCTTTGAATTTAGATTACGTCTGTGGGACGTTAGTGTGCTGGCAGATAATTATTATTGATCTCCAGTTTATTGAATCCTCGCTATACAATAATTGTGTAGCCTTGTTGTTGAAAAAGCGTTAATGTGATGTTGAGTGTTTTTTATTGATTATTCTTAATTCTTCAGCTGAGGGCTGTTTCTAAAGCAACATTGTCTAGTATGCAGTATATGTGGTGTTTTTGACTTCTACAGTATGAAGTTATTCCAGACAATAGCATTGCAATGAGGAGTTATAAATTTTCCATGGCTTGCATAACTAAAAGCTATTATGAAAAAATTAATGTCAAGCTTGGTTTTCTATAGAAATCAGAAACACTTGTGATCACAGGGGACCCAAGCATATATAATTTAACTACATTCAAGAGTTTGTGTGGGAAATAAGAAAATAGATATATATTTAGAGTAAATAAAAAGCCTTAAATATGGGTAAATTCTTCAATAAAGTGCAAATGACATGGTGTCGGTGTTGTTTTAGCTTCTAGTGTGCGAAAACACTAAAAGTGTGCTGGAACTTTGTAGAAAGACAGAAAACAGGGCCAGGGTTAGCCTGCGCTGCAGACAAAACTAAACTCGATCTGGTTTAGTCTCTTTGTGAAACAATGCCAAAATCCTTTTTCTGGGTCCCCACCTGTGTACCAGGATTTGAGTGCATGCTATGATTGGCCTGTTTTAAGCCATTGTGGATTTGCCAATAAAAGTGAAAGGAAATCTGAAATGCTCTTGTGGTAATTTGTTGAGTCTGCTGGGGGCCCAAACTAGGATATCGGCGCAGGCGTTACTTACCGAGGTTAAATTATGTATGTGATGCAGGATACACCAGATTTTATTATTAATTTGTACACTTTATTGCATAATTTTGCCTATTTGAGTTTAGTTATTTGCATTTATTATTATTATTATTTTCCCCATATTAATGAAGGATTTTTAATCTGAAAATTTATATTTTTCTTCATTAAATTATAAAAATTGGATGATTGATCCAAATTATCTTTGCTGCAGGTGGTGTCTTGGACCATACATTTATCTAAAAGCAGATACTTAAGGCACATGGCCCAATTTATTCTGAAAAGAGTGAATCCACAGGGTGCAAAGAAAGTCATTTTTAAAGCTTGCCATTCGGGCAAGCTGAAGTTAGAATATACTAGCCCAAACATCATTTCAAGTAGCCCCAAAAACATTTTGATGAGAAGAATTGAACTCACAGTTCTTCTGTAATTTGAATTTGTGAAAAAACTTCACTTGCCCGTTGGGCAAGTTAAGAACAAAATTCACTAGCCCAATGGCAAAATCCACTAGCCCTGGGCTATTGGACAATACTTTCTTTGCACACTGATTGATAACTAAAAATAATTATTTAGATTGCACTGACCTATTTGACCATATATGTCAGCCAATTTTATGGCCACTTTGTATGCAAAGCATGGACTAATCAATCAGTCTTGACATATTTATTCATTTTAAAGTTAAATTAAATTGCAACACAAAAAGGGCGACAAGGTCGACAAGGACAAACCTTCAATGTTATTAACTCAATTCAAACTGGCAAACAATCTTTTGGTGCCTTGCACAAACTGTATTTACAAGAGTAGACCTGGTTTCATGCAGCCCATTTAAAGCTTTATGCTTTAGCTTATCACTAAATATACAAATGAAAGATCTGTTAACATTCAACATTTTCAGCAGCTGTGTTAATATTTATCTTTTTTTTGTAGAGTAATGTTGATACATGTACTTTGCACTATTTCTGTTGAAATGAATAGAAAATGATTCGTTTTTGAAAATTTCCATTTCTTTTCCTAGTGAAAAATCCCGAACCGAGATTCAAATCAAAATAATTCAGGTCACAAATTTTAGTATGGAAATGCGCTCTTATTTTATGCTTGGTTCACTTGTGCTTTGATGTGATGAGGCACTTGGACAATAGAGGACGATTGCCCTACAAGCGAGTAGATAAGAAATTTATCCAGACGATTAGGTGATCAGAAAAAAAAAGCAGGGCAGCACTCTTGCACTGCCAAGTGGTCCTTGTCCCGTTGCATTGTACTTTTGCTTTTGGGCAGCTAGGAAAGCTTAGTTTTTTGAAGGAAATGTTATGCAGGGCATCAGTGTAAGACAGCCAGGTCTATGAAGATGATGCATTAAGTATCAGTGTATGATCCCAGTAGCCTTTATTTCTCAAAGGTTTATGTTGAATGCAGCACAGTATAGAATTCAAGTGTGCTTTTTTCCTGTAAATAGTGTGAAACCTATTGTCTTGCCATACATTTAAATGTTTATTATAACATTAATTATTATTATTATCATTATCATCATTAATGTTTTTATCATTATCATTATTACTGTCATATTATTACTTGGTAGCAAGTATGATCTCTTGGTCTTAGTTTTTAGCATATTTGTTTCATTAAATTTTTAATTTTTGTGAAAAGCAACTAATGGATGTGTGTGCTATATAAATGCACAATTTTTGTTATTATTATTATTATTATTATTATTATTATTATTATTATATCTCTTAATATTAATGTACACATTACCAACAAATAATTATGTTGTATTTTGGACTTAAATTTCAGCCCAAATGTAAAGGCAAAGCTTTGTATGACAGTGTGTATGAGCATTTAAACTTGGAGGAACGTGAATACTTTGGATTGAATTTCTATGACAAAAGTGAAAACTTGGTAAGTACATTCATAAGCAGAAAATGCATGCATGAATAAGCAATGTTACTGACAGTGTTTGTAGTTCTGCTGAGCTTTTTCCGATTTTGTGTTTGTTTTACCTTCTTATCAATGAAACCATACAATGAAGGCATGTTATTCACACCACTTTTTGTTAATTAAATATATTTGTCGCAGGTCAAATTTAATAGTTTTTAATCTGGGTTGATTGTCAATTTCCGTTGACTTCTAGGGCTAGGAGACAAAGGAAATTGAGAATTAACCTACAGTAGGTTAAATCAAAATTTACGTGAAAGCAAAGTTGCTCTGTAACATAATAAACATCAATGTGGAAAAGGGTGAACCTACAGTAGTATAAACTGAGAATTAGTATGTCATTGTATACTGTTGCAGGGGTTTCAATAAGTTTTTGCACAAGTGGGTACTTAAGAGTAACAGGCGGGTATATTTGCTGCAGACCTGAAGGCCCTTCGACCCTAGGGGGGTCCGGGGGCATGCTCCCCCAGAAAATTTTGAAGTTCTAGACTCTCACAGATGCATTTTCAGGTCTTTTTTTGTTGCTTTGTTGTTTCATTTTTTTGCTCCTAAGTCAACTAATTCAAACAAATTTGAAGAGAATTATATTACAATGAAGTAGTCACAGTCAAAACCTATTTTGCCAAATTTTTTGGCAAGAATTCGAAGCTGAGATGAAATTATCTGGTCTTAGTTGACGTTCATGTGAAGGCTCCAAGCGGGTAATCAGCCCGTTGCAAACGGGTAGATCTACCCGCTACCCGGCTACTATTGAAACCCCTGTCAGTTGACAAAACGCCTTACACTTTCTTTGACTGGGGTTGGAGCATGCACCCTTTCCATTGGTTTTAGTTTTGCATCTTCTTATGGATGCTAAGATTTGCAAGATACTTATACTTGTACTGTAAATAAAAAAATAAAAAGACTACAACATGTACTATAACTTCCACTGCCATTTACACTATGGCTACTGCTACCACTACCACTAATTCAAAATTGCCAGAGGCAAACCTGTTGGGGGTTATTGTGGTTCAATTTTATCCGTGATTAAAATTTTCTTTCCCTTTGTTTCAAACTCATTATCATACTGTACATTACCATACCCAAAAACAAAGGAACTGAATTTTAGCCTTGTTTGTTTGGTGCAATATACAGATTGTATTTACTGAGCTGACTCAAAATAAACAATGATCGATCATTTCAGTTGCGGCTTTAACTAAAAATGGTCTATTACAAGTGGTGGTTGTGCTAAGTGTGTACTTGTTTTGATGCTTTTGTATTTTGTGTTTTAATTTCAGTTTTGGTTGGATGACTTGAAAGCTATAAACAAGCAAGTCAAAAGTGAGAATTTGTTTTATAACTTACATGTACTACAGTGTACTATGTACAATCCTTTTATACCCCAAGAGTGCTTTCACCATGAAGTCATCAAATTCTAAAATCAAAATTTGATAGCGAGGCCTTCCAAATTTTTGTTTACAATGTACATCGGGCTGAAGGTGACCGAGAAATAAATCTTTCTAGAAGTTTCCAGCCCTGTGGCATCTTTCAGTTGGAAAATATACGCATTTTGAATTTTCCAAATTTTTACAGTGCTTGACACCATGGTAGTAGCCTTGGCAGAGATATTTGGTTAAAGAAAAACTCTCTCCTTATGATGTTCAGTAGTTTAAACACTTTAAGCGGTTAAAAAAGTGTCTGTGCACGTGTTGATTAATTAGCTTGCAAGTAAAAAGAAAACAGTTTTATCACAAAAGTGAAATTCCATGCATATTTGTGTCCCATGTTGGTACACCAGCATGGTGTCTCTAAACAAAGCTCTATAGAAATGGGCGGAACTGTTCAGTAAATAATAATAATAATAATAATTAATAATTGTAATAATAATAATACCTGTAAATAACTAAAAAGCAGTGCGATGCACAGTTGTCAAACTTGGATATGTTGTATATTTATGTCTTTGAGTGTTGGCTTCTTTTGTTGGACAGTTTCAAAATTATATTTTTATTGCCTGACAGTGAGCACACACTATTCTGTTTTGCTTATAGATCCCCGAGCAACAATCTTTAGATTTTGCGTGAAATTTTATCCGCCTGATCCTGCACTTCTTCAAGAAGAGTACACTAGGTTAGTGCCTTTGTTAAGAACTCAAATCTGCCAAGCTCATCTGGTGTAAATAAAATATACTTAGCAATATGTTTGATTCTTTTTACATCATCGTCATTATCGGTTGACTGAAGAATAGTCGACTGTAAGTCGTCTGCAACTGGCTTGGTCTTGGGCATATCATCCTCTGAGGAATGCCTATTCCGGTCGATCCATTCAGACTGGACTTGGCTGGTAAAGGACTTATGTGGTCTCCGTATACATATACATGTATATTATCTCATAACTTGGCCTAATTTTCCAGGGATTGCGCAGACATCAAGTACAGGCTGTAGATTGAAGATTAATAACAAAAAGCATTGATATTTCCTTATGTACATGTAACTTTGGTCTGTGGCGACATTAATGCCTGGTCCCTCATTTCATACACTGTAAATACATGTATGTCTCCTGTTATTGGGGCCATGTCATACCCTAATTTAGTCCCTCGTACTATAATAATATAACGTAATGGTACCTACAAGATATAAACTGCAGTGCTGCATCATTCAGTTTGTATGTTAATACAGTTCTTTGGATCAGTCCAGACAAGGTCTTGAGTTTGACTGTGTGTTTTGTTGCAGGTATTTGTTTGGTCTACAGATAAAACGAGATCTTCTTAATGGAAGGTAGGATTAGTTGGTTTTGCATTTGCAGTCACTGGATAATGTGTTATTTTTTTTTTTACTATTCTTTTAACTCCAATAAAAAAGGGTGATAATGGTTATCTCTATGGAAATGTTGCTTTTCATTTACATATGTGGAATAATTGACAATTAATGAATGAGGCTGAGTATCTTATGAAGAATTATGGAGATCAAACATGTCGAGGCCGTAGGCCGAGGAAGATAACACCCTCTGAGATCTCCATAATTCTTCATATAATACGAAAGTCAAATTCAATGATTGTTTTACTATTCATTCAAAGTAATTTGTAGTTTAAAAACATAGCTAAAACATGCTTGTGAACCTCCATCGATGTTAAGGTCATCTTCGATAGTGCTTGTTTAGGGTTGTTCAGCTCCGCAAATATTCTCCAAATAGCAGATACCACCCTTTGAGTTGTCTTCTTGCTGTTCTTGTTCTGTTCTTAGCTATAATTTCGCCTAGTTCTTACTCTTGAAAATGTCTGCCATTTTTGTTTTCACAACCAAAACAACTCAACCTTGTCCCCAGGTCTTTTCGGTTAACTGTGCATTAACCTACAAGGAAGCTGCACTTTTGACATCATGGGTTGATTAATTGCAAAATTCTTCCAAATTTGGTCATCATTAGCTGGTTGTGGTAAATTATGCGTTTGCTTTTAACCAATCATAATTGGGGAAACATTTTGAATGAATAATAATATTTGTTATTCAGTGTTCTCACCAGGATTTTGCCTTGGGGAGTCCCAGGGCCCCCTCTTCTGAGAAATAGGGGCCCTGTAAGAACATTAGGGGGACAAAGTTACAAAAAACACGCGGTACGAAGAACCTGAGCCCACACTCCAAATTGTCTGTTACATGAAGTACCTACCTGATCCAATATGGCGGAAGAGGTGTTTACGATTCGGAGGAGGAGTTTACGATGTAGTGGGACGTGCGTGGGAGCAATGAAAGTAAAGGCAACAAAATGAAAGACTTTGACTCATTTGATATGTCTTTTATTTATTCAAACAATTGCCCCTGCGCCCTAATGGGTGCATCTTCTTCGTTTTAATGCGCCATTTCAGTTTTTCTTGCGGGAATCCCGCAAGGCCGCGGCCTGGTGAGAACACTGGTTATTGCCCCTCTATGTTAATGCTAGCGGTGTATGATCGTGACAGGTGCAGAAATTATGGCTCATCCTCGGTGTATAAACCTGTGAAACTCACAAGTGATGTAAAACAATGAATACAAATAAGCCACTGAGAAGTCAACACAATAAAGCCAAGGAAAATAATAGCTAGAAAACAAAGAAAAACCTCACAGGTTTTTACATTGAGGTAAACCTGAAATTATTACAACTTGATTTATGAAGGGTTATGACTGGCAACAGAAACTAAAGTATAGACGGCTAATTGATTGGCTTGTGGTTTGTCAGAGACAAACGGTATAATACAAACGTTATTTTTCACTATACTAAAGGTTTAACCTGTTTTAGCCTGAAATTCATTTTAACAATATCATGTTCAAATACATGTAACAGCTTACTGTGTTAGTAATGTACTGTTTAATTTTGTTAATTATTGAAGGTTAAAATGTTCAGAGAACACAGCTGCACTTTTGGCTTCTTATATTGTGCAAGGTAAGTTCTACAAGAGCTCTTTATACTAGTGACTGGGATATTGGTTGGTGTTTTCTTATTACGGTGGAACCTTGAAATCACCAAGGGCCACAGTTTTTGATTAATCTGATGAACGGTTTTACACTTGAAACATACATACATGTATGTTTTTACAGCCATTTTATGATACTGTTATATATGTGTGTTTAATATTTGCTTCTACAATATCATTCTTTGAGTTAAATCAAATGGACATCTCAAATTGAATGGTGCTTAGAGGAAAGTGTTAGTATTTTTGCAGTTTACAGTGTAAATCTGTTTTTCTTTTCTCTTTTTCAGGAGAACTAGGTGATTATGATGCATTGAATTGCAGAACAGGATATTTATCAGAGTATCAGTTTTTCCCTGGTCAGGTGTGTTTCACAAAACTGTTTTTGTTGTTTGAGACTTTTCATCATTATTTTAATCCCCTTGTTAGATTAAATATTACATTTACTGTACATGTATTTTATCGTCAACAAGCTTGATCCTAAGATCATCATCATAATAATTTTTTTTTTTTTCAGACAACAGACTCAGAGAAAAGAATATCAACTTACCACAAAGAACACAGGTATGTCACTTTAAAACTACATGTACAATTTAATTTGAAGACCTTTGACAAATAAATTGTTTACTTTCAGACTTTGAAAACCTTGCAAACTAGTTATTGTTGTTTAATGTTTCTGTGTTGCAACTGATTTTATTTAAGAATATCGTGAAACAGTTCTTTTAATTATTTACCAAAAAAGGAAAAGAACTCAACCCCTCCTCCCTCCATTAAAAGTTATTATGTCGGCCTCTATAGTTATCATACAATAGGGTTTTGTGAATTTAGCTTTGGGACCATCAACATGGTAATGTTTTTCACGCATGGTATTATATTATGATCCAGGGGTTTGATGCCAGCGGATGCTGATTATAATCTACTTGATGTTGCAAGAAGGCTAGAGATGTATGGCATGATGCTTTACCCAGCAAAGGTTGGCATTTTTTCTGTTTGAATAACTTTTGTTCACGAGCCATTCAAGAAAAGGAGTGAATGACAGGGGTTACTGTTCTCACAACTTTCAAAAGTTTGTGAAAAAAGTATACATCACCTATAGGTACAAACTGTAAGAAAAAATAATCAGAATGTTTAGCATTGGTCAGCGTGATGTAATTTTGTTGTCTCAAGCACCTGCAGACTGGCACTGCTGACTAACTAGAGTTTACCTTAATTTGTGAGTGAGCTAAATTTCATAGTGCATTACCTTACAGAGAATCTTTTTGAGTTAAAATAATAAAACCTCTGAGATACTGTAGCTGTACATGTAATTTAACCTGGGTCATGAAAATGTGCAATGTACAATGTAAGGTTACTGTCATCATCGTCATGATCATCATTATCAGTATCATTTATTTATTTAAATAAATATTTTTTGCAGGACAAGGATCAGGTTGAGCTTTTCCTCACCGCTGCTCATTTGGGTGTTTGCGTGTTTCAAAATGGATCAAAAATTAACACATTTTCTTGGTAAGCGGTGTTTTATTGTAGGTATTCGAGTCACTATTGTTTCTTAACTGTGAATAATTTTGTCTGTTTTAGGGCAAAAATTAGAAAACTTAGTTTCAAGAGAAAAAGATTTCTTGTCAAGCTGCATCCTGAAATATTTGTAAGTACATATTCAATCGTTTACATTATTCTGTTGACCAACACTTTATTTGTTTACTTGATGGCAACCATTTTGACTGTCATGGCAATTAGAAAAACATTCCTTACCTGAGTTTGCTTTCATGTACCAAGCCTTAGATTTTTATCGCAGCCAAACGTTTCCATTAGTATGGACACAGAGAAAGCCATAGAAAGTGTTCATGGTATTAACAGGGTGTCTGTATTAAGTGGGTCATGTTATTTAAGTCAAAAAGACACCTTTTATTTGAACAAAACACCTAAATATTTTAATATTCAGGACATTATAGCATTGTCAAATTTAACATCTCTAGTCTTCATAAAGCTGTCATTTTATGGACTCATGTCCATGGAAACAGTCAAAAGTTGCCCATTTATAGATTACTCAACCACAAACCGTTTTTAGCGTAACTCGGTTGATGCCAAAGTAGTTGAGCTTGGAGCACCAACGAGCATGTGATTTTCTTGCCTTTTTTTCCATAGGGTCACTACAAAGATATTGTGGAATTCGAAATGGCCAGTAGAAATGCTTGTAAAAGCTTCTGGAAAATAGCTATAACTACCCATGCTTTCTTCCGGTAGGTCTATTACATTATGATGTTGTGGTTTTATTGTACATCACATGTATCTTTTGTTGCGTGTACTGTTAATTTTACCTTTGTTCTTTGTTGAATGCATGATAACTGAGTATCATGGAAACAAAACAATTTCAAACTACAATAAAATGAAATAAAATAGTTCTTTTTGCTAAGCCAACTTCAGTGCCCCCTTGTTGTCATTAATACCCGGAGATAATTATAATGATTATTGTTGTTGTCCTATGTTCATTTTCAGGCAAAATCAGGTCAAACCAGTCACCAAACCTCGCCCAAGACTTTTAAGTCGAGGCTCTTCTTATAGATACAGTGGAAGAACACAAAAGCAGATTATAGAGGGATGTCGGACTTCTTTTCGACAACAGCCAGCGTTTGAAAGGTTTGCATCTCTAAAAGAAAGTAAAGTCTTTTCACACTGACAGCTCCGATTCTAAACATACCAACTTTTTATGAGTAGAAATTCATGACATTTTTTTAGCTTCAGTTTTCCATTGTCCACACTCATACAGATCATGGAAATGGTGTTAAAACATTACTTATATTCAAAATTCAAGTGAGCATATCATTGCAATAGTGAACATTGGACATCATTTCTTTGATCTGAAAAGTGTAGACAATGAAGATTTGTTGTTGAGTTGTCTTTCTTGTTACAATACCATCAATCATGTTAACATGTTTAACATGAAGTTTAACGTGGTAAACAACATGTAAAACTTCTATTTCTGGCAAATTTTCTTGGAAACTTGCCCACAAGAGACAAAGAGAAACGTTTGCTTCATCATTAAATCATTTATATTGTCTATGCTCTTACAGACAAAACGTGTACATGTAGCTCTAAGCACTGTGCAAGAAGTTAATTTTTTGTCCCTAGAACCACTGCCAATTAGACTAAGTAGGTAAACAGTGTCCGGGTAAAATCTGTATTATTGTAAAATAGGCCATTTCTGACTTCCAAAAACTTCTCATTTTCAAAATGAGGATAAGAGAAAAACCTTCCTTTTGAAAATGAGTTTCATTTGCATGAGAATAAAAAATCATTTTGATATCAGTGGCTTTGAACATTAGCCGTGCTTTGAAACAGAGGTTTGGGACAACTTAGAACTGGTCTGTTCACCATACCCATTAACTACCAAGTTTATTTCAGGTTGAATTATTCTTTGTTCTCTTCTTCAGGTCCCAAAGCCTAAAATCACCCGCAAGAACAAATTCTTTTGGAAACTCCTCACAGCCGTCACCCAGAGTATTAAATTTTGCTGGATATGGCAATGAAAGTAGAATAGGAGAGAGCACTCCTCCACGGCCACTAATACCCCTCCAAGAACAGGAGGAAACTATTCCTCTTTCTTTACACTTAAATGGACCAACTACTTCTGTGAATTCAGAACATCAAGAAATTCCAAGAATACAAGATCCTACACTCGCAGGAGAAATAATCAAGGAGCCATTATCGGATCCAAAGGGTGCCATTCCTCTGCAAGATCTTGATGATGAACCCGATATGATGAAAGAGGAGTCTGACACACCATCAGAAGCTGCGTCAGAGCCAGATTTAGAGTGGCAAGCAGAACCGGTAAATCAGGCTGTCTCCAACACAGTGGAAGCAGCTGGTAACATGCGTGAATCACCAGTGGTGGAACATGAAGGGCAAGGCAAGGTTAAAGATGAAGAGGAAGATGAAGGGTTTGAACATGGTACACCTTTGAATTACTACGGAGATGAGGATACTAAAGAACAAGAACTTGTTATCCCTGAAGGTTGCGTGCGCATTGAGTACCAACCTCAGCCAAAGCCACCTTCCCCAATAGAGGTGAGCGATGTTGAGACATTATCTCCTCCACCACAATCTCCTCCTCTTCCGCCTCCGCCTCCTCCACCAGAGAATGATGAAGATGGAGAAATACCTAACGAAGAGCGAGATCAGGGTGTTGGACAAGAATTTCCTTCTCCACCACCAGAGCTTCTGCCATCACCACCACCAGAACTTCTACCATCACCGCCACCAGAGCTAACAAATGAGTTTCAAAAGTAAGTTGTGGACAGTGTATTCAAGGTTATAATAATACATTGTAAGTGCTTTTTGGAGAAGTGAAAGAGGTTATAGAAGATGTAGTTATGTGACTGAACAGAAACCCTGTGCTTTTGTAATTAATTTATTTAAAGCTGAAGATTGGCTGTGTAGATTTCAATGAGTTAAAAAAGTACAAGATGTATATTTTACAGTAAAAGACAGTGTTGCTCTTGCTCAGTATATAAAAAGCTAATGTCACATGCATACATGTACCCTGCTAAGATTTTGATGTAGAATAATGAATTATTTTAATTTAGTCAAATTCATGTGTGAGTTGCATTGCTAAAATTAATTATCTGAGCTGTACCTACATGTAGTAAACTTCACCTTGGTTTTTAATAATATATTTATTATCACTAAGCCAATGTATGTTTAGGTGTATAGGGTAGCAATCTCATCTGCAGCGAGGAGGTCACCATGGCAACTGAGCCATTGTCTACCTCCACGCACCTGAGAGACTTGAAGGCTCTGTTAAGCCCCATTAAAGCATACAATATTGTCTTATACATGTATTGTGGCATTGACTTTATAGGACAGAGGAAACGAAAGCCCCCGAGGCAGTTGTACCACACAATGGCACTGAAACTGTAAACAATGAAAGCAAACGTGATTCTGCAAAGTTGAGCATCACATGCAGCAGCATAGTAACAAAAGTGCAAAATGGAGGAGTGACCAGACACAGTAGAGGTTTGTACAAAATCATATTAATAAGGTTAATGATAATATTAGCCAGGGTAATGATGAGTACTAGAGAGATTAAGATTCACGTTTACGGCATACGGCAAACGGCAAACGTCAGTTGAAAATTTCTCAGAATAGAGAATAAGCAGATAAAAACAGTCCAGAACGATTCTTGTGGACAAAACTGGCATAAAACTACTTATTTTTGTGTAGAAGCAATAAACAGTAAACGAAAAACAAGGGGAAAACTTGGTCACGTGGTACAAATTCACGTTTGCCGTTTGGCGTAAACGTGAATCTTAATCTCTCTACTTACTCATGTTTTACTACATCTATCATCTTTCATCATAATTCAAGGCAAAGGTATACGCCAGTTATTTGAACAAAGTCTATAATCTGGATCATGATGGTTTAAAACAGACAGTGGAGTTGCATTTGTGTTTGTAAATGGGTTATTTTGAGTTGGAAAAAGAATTTATTTTAGTCTGCCTCCAACACCATCTTGAACATGGTAACAGTAGATGAAGTTTTGTTATTGGAGTTTGACAGATTAAAAATGGCATGGATCATGGTTTTGTTAACCACTGGCCATTGAATTCTATTCTTACTACAGCAGTGTCTCTGCTGAGAGGTTTTGTGGAATACAATGTACACTGTACTTGTTTACTTTGAAGTAAAAATGGCAGCATTATACTGGCTGGGTTCTTGGGTGAGGGTTGTTTGCCATGTGACAGTCACTCTCCTTGCTTGTGTTTGTCTCCTTATTCAACAAAGTTGTCTCAGAGTTTCTTTCTCTTGCAAGGGGTCAGTAAGTAGGTACAATAAATTATTATCACTGGCAACTTAATACTCATACAAGTGGATGGTGCGGAGCTGTTCCAGGGGGCTTCTTTGCAACTATGCATTAGTTAATGCGGAAACAGCAATAATTATAATAACAATTTTTATTATTTTTGAGATTGCACCAGTTATTAATAATATTATTAACTGCGGAAAAACCTTTTACATAAAATAGGATGGGAGTGTAACTGAAGTTGTGTTTTGGTTTGGGCAGACTTTGTGTTTGTGTTACAGAGACTACTGTTGTATGGTTGTTTATGTGCAATGTGTTGTGTTGTAGTGATGATTTATTTTGAATGTGTTTTCATGAATTTGTATGTTGTTGTTTGCTTATTACAACATCTGCGGCTCCCAGAAACTGCAATTTATTAAATCAGGTTTTGTGTGTTACTTGTAGTTGCTGTTGAAATTAGCAAACTTATTTTTCAAGTAAATTGTGTAATGTGGATCTTGTCGTGTGTCTTGTTGTTGAATCACCCAAAAAGGATTGTACCCAAAGTAGCTTGTTTTGCTACTAACTGTCAATCAATTATCTCTGCCTGCACTGTACAAATACATAGTAATGTAATAACACTCCACAATAGCTCAATCACTGCCAAGTCCAAGGTGTCTTCTCAGTGACACCTTGGATCTTGTTGCCTACGATAGTAACTTTTTTTGTTTGCCTGTCATTTTCAACAAATTTTGGTAGCAGTCAATAAATCCCCAGCAGTTTTATTTTCATACGATGCTTGACAGTCTCTAAAGAGAAAACAGAGGGTCTGTGAACTGGCCTATTATTTTTGCTGCATATTATTTTACTGTGTGGATCATGTCATATTATGAACTATGTCTTTCATTATAATCATGAAGCTAAGTTTAAAAACATTAGGTAATAAAGAATTAAAAATTAAAAATATTTAAATTAAATGACAGCTAAGAAATGCTACTGGTATAGTTGTTACAACAGGTACCGTAATTTCTGTAACTTAATGCTTTGGTAGTGTTTTCGCACCATAACATACATTCAGGATTCTTTACTTGTATTTCTTACATTGTTGGCTTTAAGACGCATCACAAAACACTCATTTATTTAAGGCCTATGTTAAATTGTAAGCCTTTTTTGCTTGAGATAGATGTTTTTTTTGGCCGCCATCTTGGTGCATATTATAGTCTTAAAATAATGATCATCAGCACAGATGTTTCTTCTAACATAATACAAGTCATATCTTCACAGTGTACCATCAGATCGTTGAAAATAAAAATAAAGCAATTATGATTATAAAAATATAAAGTACCACACTTTTTGCAGGATCACCGCAGGTGCTTGCTTGTTAAATGATCAATGGTGCACAAAATTATGCACACATTTTAACATTCTTTTCTCTTCTTGTCAATTTAGCACATTTATAAATAACACCTCTTCAGTTCTTTGTAACTCTGTTTCTCAACCTCTTTCATTTTCTGAATCCTTGTTACTTCTTCTTGTCATCTCTTCTTTCTCTGACTAATTCTTTTCTCCCTAACCTTTCTTTAGATCTTGATGAAGTCTGTGGCCCTTGATGTCAACAACAGTAACAGTTTCCACGCTAAGAATGGACAATATTTAAATTATGTATTCTTGCATTGAACTCTCTCCCTTGAGCCACAGAAAAGTTTCTAAAGGACAATACTTTCTTATCGCAGTTTCTTTTCTTGCACTAAATAATTCTAACTTAAACCTGCTCATGGAATGTTAACCCCTTGGCTCCCAACTGAGAGTGAATGTTGGAGTCTTCCAAGGTGGTCCTGACCTTCGAGTCCATAGATGAAATTCTGCAAGGTGACCATTCAAATGAAATAAAACCTCTTTTGCAGTACTTTCACGAGGTTCTTTTTGCTTTTCATTATTTTACGAAAAGAAATTTGGAAATTTTGTTAAATTTCAACTTTGGCCACTTTTGTAGTTAAAGGTTAAGAGTAAGTGCAATAATTCAGTGGAAAGCTTCTACAGTACACAGCTGTTGTTGGCTTGCTGTTGGCTTTTTTAAAATATTTTTTTTTGTAAGTTTCCAATTGCCTCTTAGAAAAGGAAGAGAGTTTAAAACACGAATACATAAAAAAAATTACATGCTTAAACTCAGTGACAAGGTAATGTTCTAAACAAGGCCTTTGTTTACAAAAATGCCAAGTGCATTGTTTGTATTGTTAACTATTAAAAATATTTAAACAAACGAAATTTAGAGTAAACCTGCCGATGTTTAAAACTATTCCACCAATGCTAAGAATGTCTTATTTTGGTGTCTAAACTTTCCTAATGCTTCCTGTTGTTAAAAAGAATGACGCTATTATTTTAATCTGGCTGAAAAGCGGCTTATAAATCACTGAGGCTTGACTGATAAACATTTCAATTCAATGTTAAGGGGTTATCCTCGTCTTTTGTTTATGGTGTTGTTGGTTCTACTCGAACTTTCCTTTTTTACCTTACTAACAGGAAAAAAAAATAGGAAAGAGGAAAATTGTACTTATTCGACAATGCAGTGTTCTTTGTATTATTTATAAGTTTGGGGTACGACTTGGGTGACTGAGCGATTTTTTTATATTGTTACTTCCACGAGAAATATTCTTGATTGAGAGTTGCTGACATACAGATACATATATACTGCACATGACTAGGTTTTAATAGAGGTACAATGTGTCTCTTTCATTATCCTTTAACTTTTCTTTGTGCAAGCAAATCTCAACTTCTTTATCTGGTGTAAGAGATAATCCTTCTTTAGCGTAATGGTCACATTTAGCGAAGGTTTTTGGAGCAATAGTGTCGTATCATATTGTATGAGACATCGTGTATTATGTGGAACTATAGTGTGTTTTTTTTGTTATACTCTTAAAAGTGCTTGTACCGTAGCTTTTGACATCAGAGAATTAATGATTGGATGCTCCATTGCCGATCAAGTGAAAACGTAGATGTCCCTAGTTCTAGGTATGGTGTGTTCATGCAATGTATTCTTACATGAGCGCCGGATTGTATACAGTTATTCCTTCCAATACGATTAAAGTTGTGACCCGGCCGCACATCCTTTCTCAAAAGAGACATCATTTACAGCCGTTCACTTGGACCAGTAAAGAGTGTGAGTGTTAGAAGTGTTTGCCTCGCATAGAGTTGACGAAAACGAATTAAGAATGCAGGAGACAAACTTTTTCACTGTTGATGTCCGCTTTATGGGCGCGTTTGTCTTCAAGGGGTGTTGGTTAAGGAAATGTTGACGTCTTATATCAAACTTTTTTCAAAGTGTTTTGTCAATTTGGGTTCAGCGGAATGTTTTGACGCAGATTTTAAGATGTCAAGTCAAGTTGTCAAGTTTTTTATATATATATAGCTTCTCAAAAGAACAGTATTTGTTACAAAAATGCAAGGCTAAAGTTGGCAAAATGTTTTTTATATATGCAATTAAGATGAAAGGAGAATATTGAGCCGGAAATTGAGAGGACTTTAATTAGAAATGCCGGGTTAGATTTTATGGATTATCATACATTCAGTAGCATAGCTTTTTAGGTTGTTAAGGTAAAAGATATATATATTGCTTGTAAAATATTTTACCACGGTTGTGATTATTAATTTAAGTCACAAGTGTCCACTTTAAGTTCGTCCAGTTTTGCAAGTATCTTTATAAGTATTTAGTACTGGACGCTTTGTTTAAGACTAAAATTTAGAAATAAAAGACCTTTGTATTCGGTAAAATGCATTGTTATATATACCTGATGATCTACAAAATCTCTTTTACATCATGGGCATCATACAACATCTTGTGGGCAATCTTTTCAACTTTAGTTTCCACTGTTATTGTAACAGTAGAGACGTTTACCCAGTTGTATGTACGTTATTTGACCAACGCTTTTGTTTAGTGAGCCGTACTCTATACGGAGTCCTTCCCCCTTACAACACTAAATCTGTGTCACGCCTTTGTAAGATAAAGTTCCCGGAAATATTTCACTCGTATTCCACACCCTACTCATGCCTTGTTAAAAATGTAGCTTTCTTATCTTGATCTGAAAAGTCTCTTCTGTAGTTTCCGCTGTGTAATGGCAAGCTTATAAAACTCCTTGAGGAAGCCTGCGACAGTCGGACTAAACTTGTAGGCGATTAACAGTTTTACTCGAAAGAACCCCGCCCTCGGCCTCGGCTAAGCGTAGCCTCCTCTCCACCTTTTGAAATGACGTGGCTAATGCTGAAATGCTTTACATGTACGTCGCGTATTGTTATTGCAGTTTTGCAGTTCCTTTTTTATCTCGAAAAGGACAGGTCTTATCGTCGTGAAGAAACGATTGCGTAGTACAGTGTTAGTCGCTGATCAGACGTTTTCGGAGCCCATAAGGTTTAAGATCATCGCTGCACCCATAAGTCCCCCACCCAACTCCTACTCTTCTGTTATCTGCGACTTTAACCTTAAAGAGCGCATTCACAGCATACTGTCTAACACTGTCTTGGGTAAAACCGTGGAGTCAGAAGAGAACGAGGTGGGTGAAAGGTTACCAAAGCACGTTTATTATTATGTGGCATCGCAGCATGTAATAAACCCAGGATACCTTGTTACCGCTGCCAAGATTCGACAGGATCTTTGCAATTCAACTTGTCTAGGCGTTGATGCATGGAAAAACGTGACCGTTTTAAAAACACAGCGATGAAAGCTCGTGATCTAGTGGGATCCGAGAACATGCACTTTTAGAAACACCACTTCTTTATTGAAAAGTCTAGGTGTTATTCATAAAACAGTAGAAGCCAGTCTGAAACTGTCTGTGGTGGTAACATGTTTGCACTCTAGCAACTTTAATGGAGTCCTTTAGATTCCATGACGAGGACGACTAAGAGTTTTAACTTTAGGTTTTTTCCCATACTCTTAAAATATAGACACCCCGGAAAGCTGCATTGTACTTTTTTGCTCCAGGAAAGTTAGAACGGTTATTCTTATCGAAGGAGGTTAAGCCCTTTCACGTTTGCAGAATGATATAATTTCTAACATTTGATAACTTGTTTCTGCCACTACGACATTCTCGCTAAAACTCATAACAGAATGACGACGGCTATCACGTTTTCCCGCCAAAATAGGGAGCTTAAGCAACAATGACGGCGTCGGTTACGAAAACGGGAATTAAAAAATGAAGTCGCGCTGCTTCAAACTTTATCGCGCTAATTCTATCTCGTCTAATTCGTCTTTCTGGAGTTGAACTCTTAAAGACTGTATCAAAGTTCAGGAAAAAAAAGAACGTCGTTGTCTAGTGCTCACGTCCTCCACAAAACGTTAAATTAGTGTCCACGTCGTAGTCGTGCAGTGACGGCAAAGATATGTACAGAAAAGCGTGATGAACGTGCAGAGTTGTTTTTTACCAATCTAAAGTTGCCGTTCTCGTTGATGTCGCCGTCGTCGTTGCTTAAATTCCTTAATGGCGCTGGTTCACACGCGGGCAATGCTTAGTATTGGGAAAATCTCGTTTTCGTAGTCGTACTCGTCTTTATAGAATCTAAAGGTCTTCAATGAATTAAAGGCTCAGCCCTGGTTTCTTATTCAGGTAGTAGAGGTTCCCGCCACAGCACAGATAGTGGTACAACTTCCGACTCTGCTGGAGAAACAAAAGACACTGTGTTCGAAGAGCCCGGGTCGCCATTCCGAAGCAGCATGGAAATGTCTCCTCCAGTATCTCCAACCACTCCCACGATGTTTCAAAAGGCCTATATTTCCAAGGTAAATAGTGTAACAATACTAAGTTGTCTTGAAATGATGTTCATGAAACCTCTCGTTTCCTCTAGTTTCCAAGATAATCTTAACAGCTATCTTGACGATGTCCCAACCGTTTTGTGTTGCCTCTTATAATTATTAGGAATTATATGGCGCTGCCTACAATGTTGCCAGGGAGCTCTTAAACACGGAAAGAACGTAAGTAGAACTGCATGACTGAACCGGCTGTTTCTGCTCCATTGTTTCTCACTAGTGAAGTATTAATTTATCTTTGTTTGGTTTTTATCAACAGATATGTTAAAGATTTAGAGGTCATCACGATAGTAAGTGAGATGATACTTGTGGCTTGTTCTATTATGAGAATAACCAACTAATATGCAGTTGGTCTTTTTCTTATTTTGGGGTGTTTCACGTAGCCATTTCCATGAGCGGGTTTGCATCTTCATTTATATTCTTTGTGGGCGGTATACCAGCTCTACAGATACTGTTTTTAAGTAGAAATTAACGAATAAAGACTGCGTTTCCGTGTAAAAGTCATTCTGATTGATGGGTTGTTGTCCTTGTCGTGTTAGGCTTTCCGAGACGTTGTTGGCGAAGAGGAATTGCTGCCAGAACCAACGAAAAAACTTCTGTTTTCTACATTTGATCCTATTTACGACTTTCACTGCGCGTTCCTTTCAGAATTGGAGCAGAGGATGGCTGTGTGGTAAGTAATGGATTCATATCCCAGGAGATTCTCACACGGAACCCTAAATTTCACAGAGGGCATTGAACAAGCTTACCCAGATCTATGAACGTCATGTGCCAGCCGCAGCGCCACGTGACTTTGTTTAGCGCGTGAAAAAAAAAGTTTAGTTCGTGCGGCAAAAGCGCATGATTCGATTTTATGATTAGACGATGTTTACGGAAATGGAAGCCTTTCGAGCGAGGCATTAACTGCCATGACGGATAACACGCCGGCGACCATTTCTGTGCGTGTACCTGTCTCCTAACAAATACCGGTTATTTAACAGATCTCACTTGCCAAGCCTTGCCTATCTTTGTGAAACTAGATCGATTTGCGTAGTTATTTCACTGGACCATATAATCTTAACAGATGTGACTTTACCGTTCCTTTTGTTCAGCCTGAACAAACGGAACGGTAAAGTCATATCCGACGGTCGGATTGAACCATTTAGGCATCACCATCTTCGTAGCTATTAAAAGAGAGCTTTCTCGCTCGCCTTTTTAGAAACAGGACGGGATTTGGAGCCGAAATGCGTCCTGCTATTATTTCTGAGACGCGCCGGCCAGCTATTGGCCAATATTTATCCTTGTCCTTAGTAACAGTCCCAAAAGTCTTTGCTATTAACAACTTGGCCCAGTTTCCTTCCACGTTTCCCAAAGTGGCGAATTTCAGTCGATTTCCCCGTGTAATTTTGTTTTTGTCAGCGAAGAAATAAAGCAAAAGGTTTCATTTCTTTTTCTGACATGCCAGGGATGCAAGTGAACCATCAAGATCTGAGATAACGCCAAGAATAGGAGACATCATGATTCGTAACATGAAGCAGATCAAGGTAAGCTCTGATACGTTTTGGCTAATGTCCACCTAGAAAACTGCAACATTTCAAGCTTTTTTGGTGATCAAGAGTGAACTGCTCTTTACATCGGGGACTGTTTGAAGCGTTTGTGTACAATATTCGTAACTTGTTATGCATTTGGTATTTGACTTATTCAGCGTTATCTACATTTTTTTAAAAGCGTTTATGTACACTATTCGTGACTTATTGTACGTTTATTGTTTGACCTTTTCAGCGTTATTTACACCACGTGAAGCGACACGATCAAGTAATGCTTGAGTTAGATGATGCTACAAAAAACTACAAGGACTTTGAAGTAGCCTACAAAGAATTTGAGGTATGTTGAAATTGTTTGGTTATAGTTTAAATTATTGAAGTCCGTTTTTTAGCTGCGAGAGTATTTTACCCCAAATTAAAAATATTTTCGAACCCCGCCCTCCTATAATCTCTCGCAAGTGTCCAACGTACAGTTCTAAAGTTGCCTCGACTCGTTCTGTCCTTCATCACTACCAACCCCTTCCTTCCGCTATTGATAATTTTTCTTGGGTCGGATCGTTAGACTTCCAAATACAGCGGCATGAAAGGCAGCTTAAAGGAACCATATAAACTTGTTGAACACTTTATGTTTTCTTTTCAGACTCAAAAGGTGTGCTACCTGCCATTCAATGCCTTCCTTTTGAAGCCATCACAGAGAATAGTACATTACAAGTTCTTGCTAGAAAGTGAGTGGAATTGAGAATGATTTTTAACTGATGAGAAGTTTCTTGGATGTATATTTTGTGATAAAAGTTAACACTAAAAAGTCACGACGTTTCGACCTCTCCAAGGTCTTTTTCAAGTACGAGTAAAATATAAAAACTATTATAAATATATTACAAACGGTAATTGCTTGAACAAATCATAATAGAGGCTTGTGCTAAAAAAGAAGCCGGGGAACAAAAAAGGGGATGGAGAATTTTCCCTACTTTAGGTTTAAGCTCCAAGAGGACCTAAACTGTCCAAGAGGACTTTCGGCATTTGTTAGTGCAATACCAAAATCAGTTTCCCCACCGGTCAAAGCACTATAGCTACACTCTTTCGTTCTAGATCTTTTTGGTCTTACCTTGCGTGATTCGACTGTTCTGTCGTTTGTCATTTCACCGCGGTACAGCGTCGTGTATTGCAAATAACTTTCTTCTCTTTTCGGC